TGATTAATACCCCTTCAATGCTTCTAAACAAAACATTCTCAAGCGAGGAGGCAACAATACATACTGATCACATTTCTTCTGAGAGTAATTCCTTCCCCATTCTTTTAATGACCGACTTATTTTTGTGTAATCTTCTCTATTCTCATGCAGGTTTTGACTTCACACCTTTCTTCACCCCTCTCCACTTTGCACTTCCTGAGTGGCCTCTCCGACTCTCCTGCCTCCTCCCCTATCCCAGCTTTTGTTCTTCTGTGCTATTTAATCTTTGCTGTCTGCCCTGTCTTTCTCACACCTGAAGAAGGCTTCACAGCCGAAACGTTGTGTTTTCTCTCTTCTCTTTTCAGCATGGAATAAACCCATTATTTGTTCCTTTGCAGACTTTGCATGCTGACGCAGCTACCCACCTGAACTACTTCTGTGAGTAATGATGTAAATCTTTCAATGCAATACATAGGCAATGATGCAATACATATATGATGTTATAAAGATATAAAGATGTGTTTGGAAAAAGAGTGAGGTCCTTCTGTCTCACCTGTCTGTTGCTGACAGTAAGTTTCTCTAGGAAGTGTCTGAGGACCAGAGCAGGGTCTTCGATCAGGCAGTTCCACAGCACCTGCTGAGCCACAGCACTCACTGCAACACAGAACAGATACAGAGCCCTTAGCACTCTGCTGCTGCTAACAGAATACACAGGTACTCATGCAAGACAGATGGGAGCTGAAACACAGACAGATGGAGCTGAAACACCAAGGTTAAAATGAGTCCAGAATCAGTCCCACCTGCCACTCCATCCTCCCGCACTTCCCCGTCCTCCATGAGGTGGACAATGGGCAGCACCGCTGCACAGATGCATGCTGGGAACACGGCCTGTGGCGGCTGCAGCACATGGTGGGTTGGTGTGTGCTCTGTTGCATTTTCCTCATCTGAGCACAAAACACACAAACAGAACCAAGGATGCAATTAGCAATACAAGGTATTTGGTCTTCTATACTTAAACTGTAAATATTTTTGGATTTTGTTTGGACTGTTAATTCAACAGCTATGTATGAGTTCTAGACAGTACAGACAGAACTTTGAGTTAATTCAGGAGAGTTTATCAATACTTTAGCAGGAAGTCACTTATTCTGGGAAGGTTTGAGGCGAGCTGGAGCTTATCTCAGAAAAACTGATACAAGGATTTAGAGCACACAATTGCTCTTCCACTGCACTGTGGAAACCAGACTATTTCAGGGCCACAGAAACAGGGAAAATTTAGAATAGCCAATCAAACCTAGCCAAGATGTCCTGGTGGGACAATGGAAGAATTTAAAGCATTGGCAAACATCACAAAAATAGATACCTGAGACCAGAACCCTGGATTCTGGACCTGACTGCCACTCTTTCTTCCATTCTGGAGAATGATATTAAGAACTTATGAAAAATAAAACCTTTTAACTTTTAGTTACCTTTTAGTCACTTACTCTGAAATGGATAAAATAATAGCATTTCAGGATTGGAAGTGTAAAGCAATTGTGCGCTTGTGAGACACTTGAAAAGACAGGCACACCGGTGGGATGGGGGGGGGGATCAAGCTGACCTTCGGCACTTGTGGCAGAGCGCACAGACCACATCGAGCCCCTCCGAAAAGAATAATTCCTGTGGGAGTTGCTGGAGGCGCAGGAGGGACTGACAGACAGGCGGCGGGAGGCCAGGTTGGTGACTTCTTCTGCTGACAGGGAACAACAGACACATGACATCAATCCCCAGAACAGAAACAGATGTACGTGTTCCTGGTGGACGACTACACATAAATATTCAAAGATATATTGTTAAGACCAGATGTTGGACCTATCAAACACTCTCTCGCAATAAAGAATTAATCTTGGTTGGATTAAACTACCGGGTCCGAGATGGTGGGATTCTGAGATGGTGCGATGACACAGTACATGGGAAAAGGGCTGGTTTTAATGGCCTAAGCCTTAACCTTTAGCTCTCAAAGGACATGTTATTTTGATAATATTTCACAATTTTGTAAGAATTGTATGATAAAAGAATTCGGCCTGCTCGTCAAGTGTTATATCAGTGAAGTGCCGATGATTTGGAATGGAATCTAGACAAGGCTGATGGGGGACATGAAGCTTAGCAGCATGCTGGCAGCCCACCTTCCTCCTCCTGCTCAGGCGGGGGGCTACAGGTGGGCTCATAGCAGGCCTCCTGAGTGATGGGGATGGCTGTGATGATGCTGGCCTCGCGGCCCAGGCGCCGCTTCTCCTCCTCCTGCTGCAGGTTCTTCAGGATGTGCTCGGCGCGCTGGTGGGAGCGGGACACTGCCCGTGCTGAGAATGACTTCTGCACAGGGACAAAGCAAGGCAGGGCGGGGCTCCGATGAGGAGCCAGACTCTGGAACGGTAACCGGACTAGGGAGCAAACTACGGACCACAGCTTAAAGTCAAATTCAGCAACAAATGACTCAACGCTCAAAACAGGGAAGGAGCCTCCTTCACATACTCCTTCGCTGCAGACTAGCCAAGCTCTCCATCCAATTTGCCTTATAAAGTAGCCTGCAGAGAGCTGATCTAGGGGTGTGTAGTGCCCTGGGCGATTCATATCCCAGTCAGAGAGTCTTGTTACATGCACTATAGCACTATAACCTTTGTTAATAAGGTATAAAGGTATTGTAAGTAAGGCATTAAAATACAATTTAAGGAATAAAAACAACTAAACATACATAGTGATGTTTTTTGAATGGTAGGCTTTGAATGTGGGGGATTATGCATGAAAGATATTCTTAATTGCCTAATTAAAACTCCTCTTCAAGCGTTTACACTTTGAATATGCTGTTTTTTTGCAGCAGTGAACCACTGTTTAATAGCTCTATCTCCTGGGCTGGATAACTGAAAACCTCAGAACATCTAACAATAAGGAAGTTTACCAATAATAAAAAGGGAACAGCCCAACATTAACTTAGAAAAACAGGAGACAATCTGATTTCTGAGCAAAGTCTTTGAGCATTTCTAGAAACTAGCAATGCGCTATCCTGCCTGTGGGAATCTCACTGGACTCCCAGTTATTGAGGGTCTGTGTGAATTGCAATTCAAATCAAGGAATATATTCCTTATTACAAAGGAAAGTATAATAAATATCCTAGATTTAATATAATATTGAATACATATTTAAATATATAGTATTATAATAAAACGTTTATTAGAATTGCTGGAGATGAATATGTCAAAACATCTGAAGTTATATGTCTGCTATAAGAAGGAAAGTTTCCATACATAATTGAATTTTGATCCCACATGTGTTAATAGTATTTTATTAAATACTGTATAAAGAGTGGGCAGGTCTGAATCATGTTTGGGTCTACATTCTTCTTCAGCTATGCGTAAGGAAAATCTTTCCTAAGATAACAAGGGGAACTGATCTGTAAAATATCATTTAAAAAAAAATTAAATAGCCCATTTACTTCAAGTGTGTTACACATCATACAATTATCCTGCTCACAGATGTCACAGCTGAAAACACATTTTACCAGAATTAACACAAGGTGAAGTATCAGATTGTTATATGCTTTCGTTAGCAGACAGCGGGTTTCACAGGAATGAGCCACAAGAGGAGGAAAATGAAATGATATTTAAACACAGACTTCAGACGTTGCACAAAAATGTTGATGTCCCTTATAAAAGTTTCCCATGACAATATGCAAGGCACTTCACCATGCTATTACCATGCAATTCCCATGCTTTACTGTGGATTACCATGCATTTCCATACCTCTTTATGCTTTACCATGCTTGACTGGGCCCTGCCATGCTTCCACCACAGTAAAACCACAGCATACTTTTAGAAGGGAAAATTGTTGAATGCTCACTGCTAAACTATTCCTACTATTAACTGTATTTCAACATTATGTTTAATTTTAGTCTTGGGTTCCAATCATAGTTTTATTTCATGTTCAAAGGGAAAGCTAGAACAGACAGTGTGAATATCTCAGTGATGTGATTAAAAAGACATTCCTTTGTTAATAAATGATCTCAGGAAACTGGGTGCATGTCCAAACAAGCATTGGTATAAAAAGCCCAACTTACTATTGTAAATACTGACTGAATTAATGTTGGAGACTACAAAAAAAACAAAACAAATCAATGATAAGGTATGTTAGTGGTAACGTACATATCTCCTGCTAGGAAAAATAAACAACAGATCACTTGTGTGAGTACCATGAAGTACAGTACAGCACTATGATCCACACCTGTGGCATAAAGAACAGCAGCTCATGAAAACAAACAGCCATGCAGCCTTTCACCAGAACCACAATAGTGGTTTCTGGGACCGAGCCTTAGCATCCCAGCCAGAAATTAAGCACCACAGCAAAAAGGCAGGTGCGTGCACAACAATCACAAACATTTTCAGCTTTTATCTTCTCCAGAACTGCTGAATCACAGAGACTGAAAAAGGATTGCTCCCAAACCAATGCTATTCTAAGTGTTTATTAAGTATTGTAGTGTCAGAAACTAGAGAAGGAGGCAATTCCCTCTTCACAGGGCATGCATGACCACACAAACACTGAATTTATTGCTTAATGTCTTATGGACATTTTGTCCAGGGTGTTGTAACTTAATTGAGTCCTTAACAGTGCTTAACACTGTTAAGATGATGTTCAAAAAATAAATGCAACAAAAGTTGTGTCTGTGGTCTCTCCTTATCAACTCAACAAATGCATCCGCCTTGATTTGAATATTGATGGTCCTGGAATCTGTCCCAGGACTCAGGTCAGGAATCTTGGTGTAAATGTTGGACCGACCCCTGTGTATGAAGCTATTGTATGTTCACAATATTGAAAAGATGTCTTATTTTCATCTTCATAACATTTCTCATATTTGTTCTCACCCGATCAGATGCAGAAAAGCTGAAGGACGTTTGTCTTTGCTAAATGATAGTTCTCACCTTAGCTGCTTTCTGTGGCAGAGATGGATGTGGTAGGCACTATAGCATTGAGCTGCATTGTTAGCTTCTTCTTTCTAGCCTTTCTGGATATCATTTAAATGGATAACTAAATCCACATAGATGTCTACTGTACTGTGATGTCTACTCTATACTGTGGATCCGTATAGAGATGGACAGTAAAGATGTAGAGTACTGGTGCTGATGCAGTCAAGTACTTATTGCAGCAGTCTGAATGTAGTTTGGAAATTTATTGGATGGAAATTTTGAGGGGTACCACTGTTATCAGGGGAATGGAGATTGGAGGGGGCACATTACGCTTGTATTACAATGTTTTTTTAAAAAATGGTCAAGAAGGAAGGGAGAAATTCTCTGTTTACGTTGCACCCATGCTTTCATAGCAGAAAAAAACAACTGTATGACTGTAGGCATCCATTTAAATAAACTAAAAAGGCTCAATACTTTCAGCTTGTCAGTGTAGGACATTCCTTTAAGCCCTGGACTGCGTCTGTGCTCTTCTTTGGACTGATTCTAGAACAGTAATATGTTTTATATCACATAGTGACCAAAGTGGTACACAATGATCTAATTGAGGGCTTAATAGTGTATTATATAATTTAAACATAATATCCCTTGATTTGAATTCTAACTTGTGACTATCCTAACAAATTATTTGAACTTATTATTGCATTCCAATATTTATTTAGAAAATGAAATTGAGCAGTTGTCCCAGTACAGATCCCTGTGGTGCTCCACTAATTACATCAGGGCAAAATGTAATGTAATGTACAAAAAAGTATGCAACATAAGGAATGTGTCCACACCCCGTAGGCATACAGCAAACAGTAGATAAATACAAATTTAGCCCAGCATTTCCTAAGACTCTGACTTTAGCAGTTCCTGTTGTACTGTATTATAACAATTGTGGGAGGAGGTAAGACAAATATGGAAATAAAAGCAAACAAATCTTTTTGCTAATATCTCTATTTTGAGTACATACTGTATGCATGTGAATTTAAAATGGTCTCTTCCATTGAAATGTGATCAAACTCAGAGGGCGTCATAATTTCAGATACTATAGATTGCAGCAGCAATGTTTATAGAGTCTACTTCATATTTTCCTTTGTCTTTCATTTTGTCTGGACCTTGCACCATTACTGAAAGACAACAGGGTGAGAGAGACTTACAGACTGGTCTTCATTGATGGGATCCTGGACACTGCCTGTGTTCTGGGGTACCCAGGGGGGATCAAACATGGGCACACAGGGCATGCCCAGAATAGGGGATGGCAGAGTGAAGTTAATGCTGGGCGGTGGGATCTGAAATAACACAGAAAACATTCTTTAGAAACACATAGTCCCCAACTGATGGATGTTTGCATAGGGCATAATAATGTTAGTTTGCCTTGTGTACCTTAAAAATCTGCTGCGCCCCTTCCTCCATCCGCGGCCACACCTGATACCTGAAGCGCCACAGGGTGTAGAACTTCAGCACGGAGTTGATCCTCTGTACAGCCTCCTGGTGGTGAAACTCTGACATGATCATCTCCGTGACTGTGTCGGGCACTTTCACAGCACACAGCAGAAACATGGCCGCTGCACAGACAGACAGGAAACAGAGCACTTTGATGACTTTTAAGATCCCTTTCTCCTTAGCCAGGGATAGGTAACTACCTGGCTTTACCATGTTCCAATGTAGGGAAATAAGTATGTGTTAAATCATGCGACCCAAACTAGGATTTATCTGGGTCGCTATCAGATTTAGGTTTCCAGTACCATGTGTTTTCTGGAGCTGCTGTTTTCAGACCACTGTCAGATGATGTCTTTAATGGCGGGTGATTTACTTAATCAAATTATTGTACTCAACATTAAGTAATCTAAGGTGCTGCTGTATTGTTGAGTTACTAATGAAAGCACCAAACCCAAAGGAAATTTGGTTTTCAGAAAGGACATGAACAAGGCTAACCAGGACCAAAGTGGGATGTTTTTTACATTAAATTCTTATGTAAGAGATCCAAAAAGCAACCTATACTCTGTTTTAAGCATTCAATTCCACTTTTATTCTCAATTGGGAAGCCCACTATGTCATTTTGGAAAGAGAGGTGTTGTAAGCAATAAATGTGCTTGAATGGTTAGACGGGAATGCAAGAGAATGGCACTGGGAACGAATTTGTGGAACGAACTGGAGCAGAAGAAAATAGGATTGTTCTCCAGTGCTGCTGGTGCTCTCACTGACCTGCTGCTGCAGCCATGTGCTCATCCACACTGAGCAGCAGCTCCCAGGCCGCTGGCTGGATGTCCCCATACATGTCCTCCGTCAGGATGGGGGCCGCCTTGATCAGAAGGGACAGGGGGGCTGGGGACAGGCTCATCACCTGGAAGACACAACTCACAAGGGTCAAGCCACTGAAGCTCAGCAGGTACAGTATGAGCCTGGCCTGCACCTGAATGGGAAACCTTCTGGGAAAGCTCAGGTTGTTGCTGGAAGTGGTGTTAGTGGGGCCAGCCGGGGGTGCTCACCCTGCAGTCTGTGTGGGTTCTAATGTCCTAGTATAGTGATGGGGACACTATACTGCAAAAAGGCACCGTCCTTCAGATGAGACATGAATCCTGACTCTTTGTGGTCATAAAAAGCCCCAGGGCATTTCTAGAAAAGTTTTACCCTGGTGTCCTGGCCAAATTTCCCCCTGGCTTTCACCAATCAAGGCCTCCAAATAATACTCGTCTATGTCTTCTTCTCCACGCTGATAGCTGGTGTGTGGTGAGTGTATTGGCTGCCGTTACATCATCCAGATGGGGCTTTGAGTGGAGGTTACAAATAGGAGCAATGTAAGATCGGCATGGCTAGGATGTTGACTTCAATATATTTAATTTACTATATGTCAAATTTAGATATACACCAGTAGAATGCACAAGATTCAGAACACTGGCAAATCTCTCCTAGGGGGTAATAAAGTCTGAATTGATCCTTAGTATTTGCTGCAATCTGCTTCTGTTTTATTAAGATCTATATTGGTATCAAATGACAAAATAATGAGCAAAATCAAGGAACAAAACTGAAGCGGCCTGTAGTTTCCGGACTACAGAGCTGAAAAAAGAATGCTCTGTGGTAGAGGAACTAGCTGGTCACCTGATTGCGGATGTACTTCAGCATCCCTGTGTCCTTCTTCCCCTCCACATTTTTGTCATTGACTCTCTTCTTCAAGGATGGAGTTCTTAGACAGGACTTATCAGAGCACTGGAAAAGCACAACACGTCATTATATAAGGATTGCAATAGTCTGAAATGACACTCAGACAACCAAAGGCAACTCAGTATCATCCAAGATACATGAGTCACAAAAAAGGTTTTGGAAAACTACACCCAAAGCAACTGAAAAAAGCCTTTTCCAAAAATAAGCACAACATACTGTAGCATACATATGCATAGGATATATAGAAGAAAATTCTATATTGGAATATTGGGCTGTCTAAAAAAAGATACTGTATTTTGATCAGAATGCACAATGGACAATGAGAACTGCAAACAATTTCACAGTGTTTTTTATCCAAGGGCGTATTCATCTAACAGCAGACCTTACAGATGAATTGAGCTCAAAGCTGTGCTGAAATCACCTCCTGGTGGCACTTATGGACCAGAAAAGATAGCAAACTTGCAATCAAACAAGCCACCCTTGCGGGGACAGGTGGAAGGCCCAGCACTTGAGCACTCCTGGGGCCCACGCCGCACACTGCACCTCTTTCATCTTCTTCGTGCGGGCGCTGACGTTGCTGGCACAGCGGTCCTCCCTGAGCCCGTCTACACTGTCGCCGTACAGCAGCTTGATGGCCCGCACGAGCCGGGCGCAGGAGCGGCTGTGGTGCTGGTAGCAGCGGGGGTGGCAGAAGTCCACGTGGGTGCAGATGAAGCTTTGCTGGTTGCACAGTAAGATCATGATCTGCAAGAAGAGACGGGAGGGGGGCTGTGAACCATTGCTTCCTTCTCAGATTACACAGCAAGACAGATTTTACTGTACGCTGTGAGGGAATCAGTGAGGGAAGGCTTGGGCTTTGAATCTTGATTTGGAATATTGATATTGAAATATTGATTTGATGGGTAAACTATCCATTTTCCCCCCAGTTTTGATCATGCAATAGCACATACTACAGATGCATGATTCGAGGTGAAGTGCTGTTGATAGTCCCCTGCAGAAACAGACAGACTTGTCATTGTCATTTAACATGTCACAGACAAGAAAGGCCCATAATGGAAGTTCAGCACCGAATGGAGGAGATGCATGTGCCTGGGGGGCTGCGGAGCTGAGAGACCTCTGGCTGACTTATCCCACACTACCGCTCACCAACTGGGGAATGTTGGTTAAAGCTGGCTAATGACTTGACCCAGGCTCGAACCCATGACCTCAACCTGCTCTCGGCCAAGTGTATTTACTTGTTCAACCACTCAGGAGTTAATATATGCAAGGTAATATATTCGATGGAGGACTTATTCATATTCTATATTTGCTATCAGCTTTGCAGCTTGCGATAAAATCTATCAATTCCCTGATCTTGCACAAAATAAGGCAGTAGTGGAAATCAGGGAAAACAATCCAGGAAAATATTTGGGAATAGCTCCAGTTAGTTTTTCAGGTCTCATCCATCTCTGCTTTTCCATTCACCTTCGAATTACAGGACTGAATCAAATACCTGTATATTGCCACTACTGGGTTAGAATCTAAATGACAACCCCTCCAACGCTTTACATGTATGGAGACCTACGTGCAGCCAGGACATGTTTCTATTGTAGTTGTCCTCAGTTCCAGTGGTGCTCAGTCCTTCAGGTTCAATGCTTGGCTCACTGGTACTCCAGGGGCTCCCTGCCAACAGAAAACCACAAAGCAATGCCCACTGCCCAAGTATATAATAGCACAAACAAGCTACAGTACCTTCATACTACAGGGAAACAAAACAATTACATGGAAAACATTAATACGCCCACTTTGCAAATTCAGCATTCGACTGAATTAACTTATTTCTGATTACAGAGTAAGGATTTCCTTTTTTTTCCAGTTTCCCTTGCTGAAACCAACCTCACTTCACTTTTCAGCTGTTCTAGCTTTGTAAATGTGATTGATTGGCTTTGGTTTCACTTCAGGTATGGAAGATTTGATGTTTCTCTTTAGGTTTCAGTTCTACCTTAGAACTAAGCCTGTTATCCACTTTCAAGTGAAAAATGAAGACTTCATTAATCTTCATTAATGCAGTTCTGCATGACTGTATGACTGCAGAAGCTGACATCGAGAAGGAATAAGACTCTCATTGCATAGTAGTTTGAAGCATTTCATATTTTACATGCCAATACCTCTTTTCATTTTTAGAAATTGCAGAGACAAGTGGTTTCAAACTACAATAAGCAATATAATAAAATGGCTGCAGTTCTTAAAACAACAACAGGTCAATACTTGGCCAGGTCCAGATCAGCTGAAAGCTGAGATCATAGTACCTATGTCGGTCACGGTGTCTCTGCTCTGCGACAGCCCGATGTCTTCGTTCTCCGACTCCGAGTCCTGCCGGGACATCTTGGTGCTCTTCAGGCTGCCTGCCCGCCGAATACTGGACAGGGACCCACCTTTCTTGACCCTGAAGCTCCTGGTTCCCTTGATCTGCAGGAGCCGAGAGCCACCGATGCGAATCTTCCTGATGGGAGCTGGGCAGGGGAGAGAAGGGCATCAGGGCAAACGGACATAGCTGCAAGGGAAGGGAGGGACACTCTCACGTAGCAGACAGCCCAGACACTGTAGAAATTCTGCAGCGGAAGAAATTAATTTGTGACACTGGAACAAAAGCTGAAGAACATCTGCTATCTGAGATAAATCCTCTGTTGCCTAGGAAGTGAGTAGGGCTGTACGAACTGTAGAAGACAAGAAAGCTAAAGGCATTCCAGTGTACAGAACCTCCAACCAACTATTTTCTAACCACTTTATCCAGTACAGGGTTGCAGGGAAGCTGGAACCTATAAAAGCAAGTGGGACACACCCTGGATGGGACACCATTCCATCGCAGGGCGTGCACAGAACATCCGAGAGCAAAAAACTATAAAGACAAGTGTGAAAATACCGCTGGGTTCCTGATACTTCCTGTCGTCGCAGGCGGTGTCAGACTTGAGCGTGTGGCTGCTGCTGTTCAGGGAGTCGTGGGCGTCTTCGTCGTCGATAATCCCCGCGAAGCTGATCTTCCTCTCATAGCGATGGCGGTCCAGCTCTGGGTCCAGGCGCAGGCGGCAGCTCTCCAGGTCCTGCCAGGGAGAGTGAGAAGGTGGGCGAGTGGGTGAGAGGGGTCCAGAGCTACTGCAGCCTCCCACTGTAGCGAAACTTAACAGAAGCATTTTATGCCAAGGCCCCATTTCCAGCTCCCCTGCTCTATAGAAGGCAGGCACCACATGGACACTGCAAAATTAAAACCTGAGGTTTTGCTTCGACTCTAAAATGAAGACCCGGCTAAATGTCTCAGGCTGTGCAGCAGACACCCCAAGACCCAACTAGCAAAAGCCTTCTCCTCCCAGACAAGATATAGAGAGACACTGACCGCCAGAGGCTCCGTACGGGGGCGAGACAGGCAGGGGAAGGTCTCCCTCAGGAAGGTGGTGATCTCCAGCAGCAGCTGACAGGCTGCCATCTTGAGAGCAAAAGGACAGGCACACTTGGTGGGATTCACTGTGTCTGGAGAGGAAGCCAAGAGACACAATGAGTGGCTATGCTACTGCCCCTGTGGTCGGGCTTCAAACACATGCGTACCTGTATTACTACTTTTAATTTTGACTCTAGTCAATTTCTCTGGATTAAATGGCAAAACATTGTATGCAGTACATCTGTATTCCTGTTTCAGTTATACAAGATCACAACAGCTTGATTTCAGGGATTTATGCTCCTTAATAAAATCAGACTTTGGATTGCTTAGTCTTCAACCTCAGAAATGAAGAATCTATGGACTCAGGGCGGCTGCACTACACTTCAAGCAGCTCTGTATGACACCCCCCACTCAGACCAGCTGTGCCCCTCAGCTTACTGTCATCCAGGAAGTCCTCCTCCTCATCCTCCTTTCTCATCCGACGCTTTGTTTCTTCATCATAGATGAAGCCCAGGATGTTGGCTGGGCTCTCACTGTCTGAGTGGCAGAGCTCACTCAGACGGGCACCAATAGCCTGCAAGGAGAGATTGAAAAACAATCTGATTGTTTTGACAGCTGGCATTCAGACTTCAAATGACAAGGGTATATTTGGCAGTTTATTCCACCTATTAAAGTCTGGAAATCTGGATCATAGCCAGGCATGAGCCAGCAGCCATATCACTCTGCAGCTCACAACTGGCAGCCCACTGAAGCTAAGCAGGTGTGAGCCTGGTCAGTACCTGGATGAGAGACCTCCTGGGAAAAACTAAGGTTGCTGCTGGAAGAGGTGTTAGTGGGGCCAGCAGAAAAGCGCTATATAAGTGTAAGCAATTATAATTATTATCATAAGCTTTTCCGTGCCATCTCTTTCTGTACTTTTGCTGTACATAGCACAGTATGTATGTTTTTCATTATCATTGATGATATGAGCTCAAAAACATGAAATCATGCAATTTCTTACAAAAATCTTTTGCAACTGATGGTTTTTAAAGCCAAAAGAAAACATGAAACCTCTAGTACAGAATGAGGCTCAGTGCCACAGAACAAGTCCACATTCAAGCGTGGTCTGTTACTTACATCTCCCCATTGACAGAAATACTTGGCTGCATTCCACTGGAGCTTCTGGTTTCTTTTATTGCCCACCACAGGAGAGCGGCCCCTGGACAGTCCCTTCTTGGTGATATTGACATGGTGTCCCTTCATCCACTCGGGCCAGTTGCCACGGTTACAGCGGTGCACAAAGCGGGCACACTCCAGGAAAAGCGAGGCCCTGGCTACTACTGGGGCTTCCTGTACGGGCAGAGACGCTAAGGGTCTGACACCAGGAAACTGCACTACAGGCACACCCCACATTGCTGAACACGTGCAGGAAAACAGCTCAGGGTAGATGAGGTGGAGCTGATGTTTTTGAAAATCACCTGTTGTTTGTTCTTTCCTTCAGAATCTGGGCAGTGTCAAGAGTGATTTTTGTTTTGTGACTCTACACTTTAAAGCCTAGTTGTGCGCCACACTTTCCAGACCACCTTGTGTAAAGTGACCTGAAACCCTTATTCCAGGAGGTGCCCCAGTTGGTATTAGGGTAACAATATGCAAAATGATGACCCAAGGTAGACAGGTTTGCACATTAATCCACTGCTCCTGATGCAGGCTACTTGTCCATTGTGTTTAAGTGCATGTGCAAAATTATATATTCTGAACAACATATTTCGGGTAGATTCTAAACACCGAAAAAGTGTAATCCATTAATAAAATGTCAGAATATCTTCATATCAATCATACAGAGTATGAGATAATTGAGAACCTACTGTAACTGAAAGTATTCAATTTGTAATTTCTACAAATTTCATGTCAAAAGTTTAAATTATAATCTTAAACAAGCAGCACTCAGGGAAAGAGAGTGGCTTGGTTTTATATAAAGTTGTAGAAAATGTATAGCACACTCCCATTTTTTAAGCTGACAATCTATTCATGCTAAACATGAATAAGAAATAGAAATATCAAGGAAAGAAGAACTATAGCTGTCAAAAGCCTGAAGCTCCAGTTCTGCTATGAGCGAACAGCACGGATTCTACTGCACTATGAAATAATGGGATATTTCTGATAGATTCTTACCTCCCTGTAAGGCAGTCTGCTGTGAAAATGAGTGTAACAGAAAGATGAGATGATGATGGACAAGATACAACCACCACGTACACACAGACACAGACCAACACTGATGGAGATAAAGAACAATGATCTGGAATGAGGACTTTGCAAGTTAAAATAAGAACATACACTTCTGCAAAAGAATTGCTGTAACTTTGAAATATCTTATGGCACTAAAGTGTGATTTCATATATGTAAGAGATATAGTCTATGTTTCTAAAGCTATAAAATGACATACTATTACTCAGGATCTTAATTAAATAACACCACAATTCTTTGCCTTATTAAAGTATAAATATATAGCATTTCAATAGAAAAAAACATTGTTTTTTCATAACTACATTATGTATCAAACCAGCAATGTTTTTTTTCACAATTCTCCAGAAAACCCAACACAACTCAGCCCTAGGTGAACCGACAGACAACAGCCCCCTGCTCACCAGGAGAAGTCGCCTGACAGGCAACAGCCCCGTGCTCACCAGGAGAAGTCTCCTGACAGGCAACAGCCCCGTGCTCACCAGGAGAAGT